GCTCAATTCAACACACAGTTCATGCACATTTACTCCAACATTACAGCTCAATTTAAAACATACACACACACTACAATTAATGTGATTCAAATGCTGTAAATTTTAGTAATAAAAAAACCTCAAAAACATTTGCCATTAGTGCCTTTGAAAAGAGATTTTCAGTTCGGGTATTTAAAATATGGTTTAGGGTAGGAAAGGGGATTATATCAATTTGCAAAGGGTTAAGATTCAACAAATGAAGGTGAGGGTGAGAATAAACGAAGCACAACACAACACAGTCGAGGGAGTTAATACTTGATAGTGAAGAGGGGGGGGGAAGAGGAACTGTGAGAAGGGATGAAAATTAAGTGTACTCACACTAGCTCTCCAGTTTTCAGTTCAGTTCAGACGAGACGAGCGTCCTTGGCCAGCGAGTAAAACTTTGACCGGCGGTCGGCGAGCAGCGCACTCGGACTGTCAAACTCCGCCACTCGGCCCTGATCCAGCACCAGAATCTTGTCCGCATCGAGAATCGTATTCAACCTGTACAGAGAGTGTTAAAATAAAAAGTTATAATAAAGAATTTGCAGCCTCCCTACAGCACTTTACCTGTGGGCAATGGTGAGCACCGTGCAGTCGGCAAACTCGCTGCGAATGGTCGCCTGAATGAGCGCATCAGTCTCGTAGTCGATCGCCGCCGTCGCCTCGTCCAGCACCAGAATCTTCGTCTTCCGCAGCAGCGCCCGACCGAGGCAAATGAGCGCCCGCTGGCCCACCGACAGATTCTCACCATTCTCCGCCACCACATAATCGAGGCCGGCGTCCATCGAGGCGACGTACGCCTTCAGGTGGCAGTGCTCCAGCGCCTTCCACAGCGCCTCGTCGCTGTACACCCCGAACGGGTCGAGGTTGGAGCGAATGGTGCCGGAGAAGAGGACCGGATCCTAGGTGGGTGGGGTGGAAATAGTTAAACACCTGAACAGCTGTTTACACCCTGTAAACAATCTCTCTCTCTCTCTCTCTC